AAATTGGACCCGGGGTGCAAAGATTGCATGAAATTAAATTTTCAACTCTTCTCATAAGTCAAACAAATCAAAACCAGTTTTCATCTGAACAATCAGCATTTCTGACTAAAGGCTATTTCACTGCCATCTTTCTAATCCCAGTTGATTCAGTATTAGAGCTGCTAAAAATGAAAAAAAAAAATTATAATGGAAAGCGAATTTTTTTTTTGCTACTACTCACTCAGGTGAACTGTTTTTGCTTGGGAAAGTTAGAGAAGATTAAATTCTGGGTAGTGACCAGACATGGAAAAGTTCTACCTGAAAAGTGAAAACTAAGTTTTAGGCACGACATTAAGTCACCCATGCCCTTCAAGGACTCTTGGCAAACTTCTCCAACAAAGCAAAAACAAAACAACAGTGGACAGAGGGTTCATAATCACAGGAAGGTGAGTGAAAACAGATGTTTATAAGTCAAAGGCTTAGGCAAACTTAACTGTAGCTGTCACTAGCATTCTAACTATATTTACCATGCAATCTGGAGAAAAAAATATGAAAACAACTAGGGCCCTTTGGCTGTGCGGCACATACAAAACATTATTAGAGTAGCTTGCCACTAGCATGTTTGGAACATTGTTGTATAAAAATGCATCTGTCTGTCTGTCATCTGAGATGAAAGCAGCTTCTTTTGGTAATTTAGTTTTTCAAGGAAGGACATTCCCTCACTGCAACTTTTTTTTTTTTTTTAAAGCACACAGTTCCATCAAAAATATTTCTCCTTGTTGAAGTCTAAAAGCATGTCTACACTTACGAGCCCTACAGGTGCAGCATGTGTGGTGCAAATGCTCTATGCTGATGGGAGAGAGCTCTCCCGTTGGCATAAAAATCCACTCTCACAAGAGGCAGACACTACATCGCCAGGAGAAGCTCTCCTACCAGCATAGGACTGTGCACACTAGCGCTTATGCCAGTGTAATTTACGTTGCTCAAGGGGGTTGTTTATTCACACTCCTGCATGACACAAACTATGCTGGCATAAAATGTAATGTAGAGATAGTCTAAATGTTACCACGGATGGGGACTAAGGGAAGAGACACCACCCATTCTCTCTCTAATACCAATAATTTAGCATTTATATAGGGACTCATCTTCAAGGTGCTTTTAGAAACATTTATTCAAACTTCTTCCTCTCCTTGAGCCAAAGGAGAACCTCCTGCTCTTCACTGACCTTACCCCCCCCAGCAGTGAGCCTGTAAGCCAACGGTCCCCTAACTTTTCATGGTTATGCCCCCCCCGAAGTCAGGGCTGCAGCTCCAGGGGTGTGTGTGTGTATGTGGACATGGCCAAGGGGGCTGTGGCTGCAGCGGGGGGCAGGTCTGCGGCTGAGTCTGGGGGTGGGCCGGGAGCAGATCCACAGCTTGGAGCCAGGGCCAAAGTAGAGATGCGAGCGGAGCAGGAAAGGGTGATGCTCCCTTCCTGCCCCCTTGTGGGGCTGGCCTGAGCCCCACCATGCCCCCCCCCGAACGTTCCTCCTAGCCCCCACAGGGTGTGTGCCCAAGTTTGGAGACCACTGCTAAGCAAAAAGCAACTTCCTGCCCTCATGTGCATCCTGCTCCACTCCCAGATGTTCACTCTCCATTAAGCTAGCCACTCCCTTCCAGAAGTTTCCCAGCCAGAGAAAAGGACAAATTTCTGATATACAAAGAACAGAGGGCTCAAAGCCAGAGGAAGGTGAGGACTGACTTTGTCTCTGGTGCTCTGGTCTATCTCCACCTTTCCCAAGCCACAAATCCGCCCCCAGACTGCCACTCTAACCCATACTACTCATGAAAGTGTAGGTTATTTTTTTAAAATCAGGCCCTAAATGTTAGTCCTGGAGTGGTATTTGTAGCAATTTGGCTCTAAAAACAGCTGTATCCTGCATTAGAGGCCAGACTAAAGTACTTTCCTCATTTAAAAACCCCCTGAAACTTCAAATCAGAGAGACTTCCCTTCTACAGTCAAACAATTTTTCTGATTATTTAAGGAGCAGAATAAATGAGCTCAGTGATGCTACCTTGTGGCTTACTTCTCTTGTTGATCATTAATAAATGCTAGAAATTGAAAATTGTATTGGTTTGCAGAGTCAATTGACCTCAACAAATCTGGTTTATGGCAGAGATGGAAACGCTGTTATCAGAGATTGGAGGATATCCACAATTCTAATATGCACTTATACTATCTTAAGTACAAGTGATCTGTTTTGGAGTCTCTTGCCAGGTTCTATTAAAAGAATAATTTTATTATAAAGGCACATAGTAATTCATGTTAATTCATGTTCATCACATCTTTATAAAATCCTAGAGATTATGGAGATTTTCTTGTTATATAAAAACAAAATCCGATCAAACTTTATAGACTAACCAAATAATATATATGTTGCATATTGGTCTATCTACACTCAACTTCCTTTAAATTCAACAGGATTCTAACCAAACGTACAATACTTTTAGTATTTTAATAATTCTGAAAATCTCAGAAAGAGAATGCAACAAATAATCCTGGCACAACATTAAGTAGACTTTAAACTACTGTACACATTGATCAGTTCTGCATTAGGAATCAGAGCTAGGTTTCATGGTGGGCAGCTAAATGTACAGCAGCAGTAAAATAAGATGTTATACAATATATAAATTATGGGAGGTGAAAATGCAGAAAATGTCATTATATGAAATGACATTAGATCCTCACCTTGCACTACATTTAGTTGGCCAACTTATCTCAAACAAGACATAGCAGAAATAGAAAAGAGCCAATGGGAATGGAATGAGGAGACATCAGGGTTGGAGATTTTTATATGAAACAAGATTAAAATGATTAGGACTAAAGTTTGGAAAAGTAAGGAAATATGTTGTCTGCCAGTTGGGCTCCTATTTATCATGTACAAGAAGACAAGGGCATTATGAAAACAGAAAGGCAAAAAAGCACCTAGTGTATTTAAAAAAAAAACCCACAACCAAACTTGTAACTAATGAGCCATGTGCCATTTGTATTAGCCAGATTTGGATACACAAAATACCAAAACAGACTATATATTCCAGCAATTTCTGTGAGTTAGCGTCACCTTATTTTCATCATCTGATACACTGCTTACCTCATAATTCTGTCTTTCCCCAAAGAACTGTGAATTATCCAGGTTTTTTTTTATGTGTGAGCTTCCAGAAGGATCTGAAAATCTTAAATGTGCTTTCATCTTCTCCCATACTAGTTAAAAGATATTTTACTCCATGTAGTGGGGCAGCTTCCCCACGCCTGAAGAACAGGGGTTAAAAGCAGCCCTGGAGAGGGCTGCAGCTGTGAAAGGCTAGGCTGATTGGGGAAGCAGCCACAGGTGTGCCCAGCCCAATCAGGCCACAGCTGGCCCTATAAAAGGCTGTGAGCCTATAGCTGAGAAGAGTCTCTCTCCAGTCCTAGAGTGGGAAGGGCTAGCTGCCTGAGAGCAAGGTACCTGAAGCAGAACAGAGCTAGGGAAAAGGGAGCTCCAGCCCAGAAAACCTGCAGGCCCTGGTGAAGGCCTACAGAGGTACTGGGGCTAAAGAGGTGCAGCTTGGGGATAGGCAAAGGTAGCAGGTCCTAACCCCTTGCCAATGATGAGTGGCCATTACAGACTACAGTCTGCCCCAGTGAGCAGGGACTAGATGATGACTGGCAGTAGTCACTGAGGCAAGGTGGGTTTAGACGGTTAGGGGTTCCCCAAGGAAGGGAGACCCAGAGTGTGGGGGTACTGCAGGGGCAGAACTTTAAGGTAAAGAGGCACCAGGGACAAGGAGGAACATGGGGCCAGCAGCAGGCAAGACACTGGCCTACAGAGGGCGCTCTGTATGCTGAAAAAGAGCTAATTTCCAGACGACCAACAGGAGGCACCGTGCTCGTGAGGCTTTGCTTCGCTACACTCCAGGTTTGCAAGATGTTGTCTACAGAGCGTGATACACTTAATTTCCAGCATTACTGATAATGGTGATTAAAAGTAAGTCGCCTCCATGGACCATTTCTTCTCATACTTACTGATCAGAAGTTAGATCTAAAGTCATCAATCAGCAAAGTTCCAAAATCATCTGTTAAGAAATCTGTTCAAAACTGAATGTATTACTTAGGCCTTGTCAACACTTAAAACTTGTAGATACTGTAATACTTAGTGAAGATACTACCTAGGCCTACCTCAGAACTACTCCCATCAGCAGCAGTAGCTATGTTGACAGAAGCCCTTCTGTCAGCATAGCACTATCTACACCTGAGGTTAGGTTTGTATAGCTACGTTGGACAGGGGTGTGGATTTTCCATACCCTTGAGTGATGTAGTTACAGCAACATAAGTTGGTAGTGTAGATGAAGCCTAAGACTTCTATTTCACTAATTTATAAAGTTTTGGAAGGGCATTAAAACAGCTGTGCAGTATATGTAAGCCCTTTATGATATTTAAAGAAAGGTTTCCAGAAAACTACTCTATTTCCTTCAGGGATAAGGAAAATTCAAATGACACTACCATACCAGGTGAAATGTATTCCTGATATAACTAGGGATAAGTCCAATGAAGTAAATGGACCTGTACTTGGGTTAACTAGGGCTGAATTTGGACATACTTGCCACCCACATGGAGTATATGCTTTTTCTGTTGAACTATCAGAGACCTTCTTGCTGACCTGACTTACCCAGAACTTCAAAGTGCTACAAAACCAATGAGACTAATGTGTAAAAAAAAAAAAAAAAAAAAAAAAACACCTTTCCCCTAACTCAAAAGATTCTGATAGAAGAACGCTTCAGCCTTATGCGGAAGACCAGATTAAAGTAGTTTCCTTCTGCCTACAACTTGCAGTCTGGAATTCAATACTAAAGTGACCCACCCCAGACAAGCGCCTCTTGCTTTTGCTCTATATATCCAGCATTCTAAACATTTTAAAGTTTCAGATTATTTTTGTACTCAGATACCCTTATAGCTGAAGGGCTTTCTGGCCCTTTAGGATCCAGTTCAATGGGAGAGACATTAAATACAGAACTCCTTCAAAAGGGAGAATTTTATTTCAAGATGAATCCACTATCTCCAAAGGAGAATTACATTACCCCTTGGGCCCTTGTTTGGAATGATTCAATCCCTTACAGTGTATTTATTACTACCCTACTGCAGCATAATCTCTTAATACAAATATCCAACTGCACACCAAAAATGGTTATCAAAGGCTTGTGTGAAAATTATAATACAGGGGAGAATTCCCCCTAGCTCCTCAAAAAAATCAGTCTTCAATTGTTTAAAATACAAGAAGTGATTAATGCACTTAATGGACTCTTCATCACCAAGACTCACTTCAAACTGATACATGCAGTGCATTAAAAAGTAAATGGATTTAAAAGCCATTTCTAAATATTATACAAGTAAATTAGTATTTAAGGAAAAAATTAAATTCCATCAAGAAGCTGCATGATATTGGTCACAAAATATTCTTTAAAAATCCTTTATGGATCAAGGTAACAGACAAAATTTAGAATTAATTTGCTACTGTATGTACAATGCCTAACAAAGGAATCTATAAATATGATCCAAAGCTCCTCACCAAGACCCTAGGGTATTCGAGTCTTATGTAGTTAGTGGATAAAGATCTTACTGTTGGAAAAGCCTACAACAGATGTGATTTTGATCAGAGTCCTGTGACATGAAGCCCTAAATTTATAAAGGGCACCTTCCAACTCCAATAATTGACCAATGGTCAGCCCTCACGTGGTGTTAAGAAGCAGGGATGTTGGGAACCATGTAAACTTCCCTACGTCAGTGTTCAGCTCCTGAAATATCTGCAGAGATGCCTACAAATGGAATGTGTGTCCTGAGCAGCAGAAATTGGATTTTGGTCCCCGCCCCATTACCAGCTGTGCTCAGGAATTTGAAGAACTCAGTTCCCTAGTCTTTTGTATTTTTCCCCATGAACCTCCTCATGGGAAGCATGAAAACAGATTTACACAATCAATTTCAAATTCAGAAAAAAAAGAGCTTAAACTATAGTTAGTTTTGTGACGCAGTAGGGGCATTTAGTGTATTTCTATTGAAAACAAACTTTGAAAAAGTTCTTTAGTGTAAAGCAAATTTTACACAACAATGGTACAAATGACAATACAACATAATCTCATTTTATAGCAGCCTATCAACAGGATTACATTTTTCATGTTTTATACGCAAGAACTGTATTAATTCTTGTGCTGGTACACAGTATCTTCTGCCCCCACACTTGCTGTTGGCAAGTGAACAGTTCCCAGTGCCAAAGCATTAAGTTCAGACACTTGACAACATAAATCTAACTATATGGGAACTTGCATAATGACAGGTTTCAGAGGAACAGCCGTGTTAGTCTGTATTCGCAAAAAGAAAAGGAGTACTTGTGGCACCTTAGAGACTAACCAATTTATTTGAGCATGAGCTTTCGTGCTCACGAAAGCTCATGCTCAAATAAATTGGTTAGTCTCTAAGGTGCCACAAGTACTCCTTTTCTATATGGGAACTAGAAACTTCAAAAACTAGGTGGTCTTTAATCCAAAAAGCTCTGACAAGCTAACCAGAGCATTCTACATGCTGCTATTTCCAAAGCTTAAAGCTAAGGCCTTCTGAACCCAGAACATCTTATACACCAGTCATAACTACAGCACCTTAAAACAGATTCAATTATCAGGGAATTCACTTTCTAACTCCAAAGGCCATGTCTACACTTGCGAACTTACAGCAGCACAGCTGTACTGATGCAACTGCGCCGCTGTAAAAATCGCTCATGTAGCCACTCTATGCCAACGGGGGAGAGCTCTCTCCTCAACATAATAAAGTCACTTCCACGAGCGACGGAACCTATGTTGGTGGGAGAAGCTCTCTTGCCAACATAGCACTGTCCACACCAGCACGTCTGTCATCAAAACTTACATCATTCAGGGGTGTGTTTTATATAAATTTAAATAAATTATACTAACAAAAGTGGTAGCATAGACAAGCCCTAAGATAGCTAGTCAAGGCTTCAAGACTATGAGCAGGAAGGAATCCATCCTGTTTCCCCCACCCATTCTCCAAAAATATATACACCAATGTCTTTTGTTTCTAGATCTCCTTTTCCTGATCTGAGTTTTGTATTTTCACTATTGCCATTATTTACAATACACTGAGAGATAACTAACAGATTACTTATCACAAGTTTGTATGTTACTGAAGTTGTGTACCCATGTAGAAAGCAGAGAATGGTAGCAAGGAGTCACAAGTATCCTTTACTGGCTCTGCAATCTAAGGGTCTATGGAGGTTTATGAATGGCCTCCAAAAGTTTCATATAACCTTTACACCCCTTCCTCCCCAGCAAATTAATTGCAATAAGATAACAAACCACTTTTTTTTTAAGCTTCTTTTAATATAATTTAACAGCTGGAAAGGAGGAGTTAGCATCATGTGACCAGTCAGCTCTTTGCCAATAAGTGCTCCATGGACCACAATTTAAGAACTATTTTAATGTTGGTAAGCAACAGCATTTAAAAAATTTATTTCTGAAACCACATGATATTGGATCGGCTCCAAGTTGCCAGCTAGTACAAAAAGGTCTGTCTTGTTCCTGGGGGTAATAGGCAAATTCCTCTATGATTTTCATTACCAATGAAAGAGGCATCAGAAATCACGTAAAAGTTTGGTTTGCTGGATGTATGCTTGTCTTTAACATTTCGAGCAGGGAAGTTATTCAGAAAGATTATTATTGAAATGTGGGGCAGAAAATAAAAAGGGTCAAAAGTCAAAGGAAAATCCATGTGACCCAAATACCTTGTTTTCTTATTACTTCTGTTGCCCTACAGTTGGTTGCTTCCAAAGATATCATTTGCTAACATTTATTCATCAAAATTCAAAAATACTTTAACATAAGCTCAATAATTGTATATCTAATAAATAAAACTTTGTTTTTAAAATAATTTCACTTAAGTTCTGAAACACTTAAAAAAAGTCCACTGCATGGTTACTAAAATATCTCCTACAAAAAGCAGGAAAGCAGCAGTCCTGGAAGCTGCTGCAGAATGCTATTACTTTAGATTAAATCACTGGAATAGAGATCTCCACTATGATCTCATGCTGGCCAGCACTGATCAGGACCTGTCATTAGAGCCCTGGTTCCATGCAGGACCACTAGAGAGTTACCTCCTATGGCGACAATAGAAATAGTCATGTCCACAAGAAATTACTTTCTACAGAGCTTTTAAAATCTATGATCTGAACAGCCCTACCTGTGGGACCCTTTGCACTGCCTGACTCCATCTCCTACAGAGGAAGGTCTATAATCGCTAAGAAACAGGGAAGGTAAGCATCTCTGACATCTGAATCAATATCACTAAGTTCTGACTTCAGAACTCATTATATGGCTCAGGACTGTGAGGTTTCTCTACGCCATTGATGTTTTCCTGTGCCATTTCCTTGTCTACTGATCTCCTGCTTGGCTGAATCTAAAAGAAAAGGAACATGTTTTAAAAAGTTAATATTTGACACACATTTAGAAACAGTGTTACTTTAACAGTCAATATACAATTAAATGAATTAGATGTCCCAAACAGACTTGCTCAGAACTGAGACAAGTAATACAAATAGATTCCATTTGGTGATGAATGTTTCATTGAGGTAACTATTTAAAAGTGTATGGAAAATTTTAAACTTGCACACCAAGGCTCTGACTATATAACATGAAAAAAAGCAAAGGCATGCCAAACAACATTCTTGCTTGAGTTTGCCAGACCTGTACAGTATGTTGTGCCCACATACAACAGAGCCACACTGCAAAAGCAGATTGTATTGGTTGGTTGCAACCCACAGGAAATCTTTAGCTCACATCCAGCTGAAATGAAGCAGTCTACAATGTTTTCTCCCTGATATGGGCAGGAAGCCACAAATGTTGCAGATTCCCCAATTCAGGCAGTCCTCTTCACTAGAGCCCTGCATGGATACAAAATCTGTATCTGCATCTGATCCACAAACACAGTCCATGGATATAAAGTGGATATCTTCAGATTTGAAGGGCTCTACTCTTCACTCCATTCCACAACGTGGTATTTTGAGTTTGAAAACCTCCCAAAAGCCCCTGCTCCCAAGAATAGTGCCGACACTGATGTTTCAAGCATCCCAGAGTACATAATCTATCTTGCAGCTGGGGCTATGTATGGATATGCCAAAATGATTCTGGCAAAGAACGCTGGTTTAGGGACAAGCAAGAAACAGACATTTCATGTAGTCTATGCATTTGCAACATTTTCCTCAGATAGATAACCTGCTGTTTATGTTTCAGTGTACCAGTATTTCTATAGGCTGTGAGGATGGGCCACCTCCTCAGAGATGGATGAAAAAAGGTCAGAGGTACGATGAATGCCTGGAGATGCAACTAAAAAGACCAGTCATCTGGAAAGCATTGCTGTACAAATGTCCTATAGGAGTACCTAAGGGGAGCTCAGTGATGACCAGGCAGTCAGAAACCAGGTAGCTCTTAGAAAATTAGGCTAAATTCCCATCTTTCTGAGGGCCAGGCATCTAGGTGACAGTAAGACTGAGGTTTCATAAACTGGAGCCTGTGTCTGAACTAGTTGGGCCTTATTTTGCTATGACATTCAGATATAATAAATACTCAGATTCCTTCTGGGCATTAGTACCTTTCTTTGCTTGAGGTTTACCACTACATTTCCCTCTTACATCTCACAGAATGCACAATTAACCCATGGAACTCATTGTATTGAGGATGTTGTGATGGCCAAAAGTATAACTGGGCTCAAAAAAAGAACTAGGTAAGTTCTTGGCGGACAGGTACATCAATGGTATTAGCCAAGATGGTAGAGGATGTAACCCCACGCTCAGGGCAAGCTCTGTCAGAGACAGGACATGGGCTAGATGGACTGATCCAATACGGCTGTTCATATGTTTTCACAAACATCCAGCTGCATATACAAGGAAACACACGCCAAGGCTCCTTCAGCATTAACCAAAACTCCAGAACATTTTACCTGGAAGGGCTGGCTGATACCAGCTATAGACTGCAAATTATGGCTATAATAACAAAGGAGAAACTCTCCTCCTGCATGGGGGATCTCATCAGCACTGATGTAAACCTGTCAACATGAAAAAAGGAAGACAACCATCAGCAATTTCACTGACAAAGCAATTAATAAAAAGCAGCCTTTACTATATACTAGAACTAGATCATAAAAAGACAATACTGAGTCTTTACAACAGATCCACTGTATGCATGTAAATCAGGGAGGAAGAAAAGACCGTTCTTAACACTTCATTCAGGGGCTAGAGCTTCATCTCTTTCAGGAAAGTGCAAAAATGCTTAGTCTTATTATTCTGCAGAGGCTTCTCTCAGCTCATGATATGCCAGAGAAAAAAAGTCATGGGCTACCACTCATCTCTCAATCTGTATTTTGGCTCAACTTTTTGTAGCTTGACATTAATCTCCCTCTCAGGAAGACCAAGTGGGTGAGGTAATCTCTTCTATTGGACCAACTTCTGTTGGTGAGAGAGACCAGCTTTCAAGCCACACAGAGCTCTTCTTCAGTACTTCAGGCATCACAGCTAAATGCAAGGTGGAACAGATTGTTTAGCTTAAGTAGTTAGCACATAGTCTAAGGGACCATTCAAGGTAGAGTGGCCTGTTAACAACTTTTGTCCTACAACTGCAGAAGATGGGGGAGTGGGTTACAGATTGTTGTAATAAACCATAAATCCAGGGTCTCTGTTCAGTCCATCAGAGTAGCTGCCGTGTTAGTCTGTATTCACAAAAAGAAAAAGAGTACAAGTGGCACCTTAGAGACTAACCAATTTATTTGAGCATAAGCTTTCGTGAGCTACAGCTCACTTCATCGGAGCTGTAGCTCACGAAAGCTTATGCTCAAATAAATTGGTTAGTCTCTAAGGTGCCATTAGTACTCCTTTTCTTTTTGTTCAGTCCATGATTTTTAGTGTCTAGCAGAGTTATAATTTTAAGCTCCCAGGCTCATCTTTTGAATGTATTGCACTGGTTTACTTTGAGGATGAGGACTGATAGGTTATAGAGTGATCACTTTGTGAAAAGTGTTCATCCACAGGATAGGATGTTTTTGCCTTTTATCATTTTCCTCAGAGTTCATTCAAAAAGCACAGAGATTGTCTGGTTTCATACACATGGTTGTTAGGAAATTTAGTGCACTAGATGAGGTATGCCATATGTTATGACAGGTATATGTAGGATCCATGGGTCTTGAAAGGTGTGGTTTGCACTGATTGTTCTGGTAGGGTGTGGTGAGGCTTGGAGTTGGTGTGTCCTGGTCTGTGGGGAGTTTGCTTCCGATGAAGAGCTTGGAGAGGCTGGAGGACTGTCTGAAGGCCTGAAGCATGGGTGAACACTTTTCACAAAGCAGTCGAGACCTATCAGTCTTCATCCTCAAGAAAATCTGCATAACACTTTCAAAAGATGAGCCTGGGAGCTTAAAGTTATAATTCTGCTAGACACTAAAAATCATGGACTGAACAGAGACCCTGGGTACATGGTTTATTATTACAACAATCTGTAATTAACCCCCCCTCCCCACTAACCACCTCCTTTTGTCCTACAATTGCAGAGGTGTTAACAGGCCACTCTACCTCGAATGTCCCCTTAGAATATGACAGGTTTCAGAGTAGCAGCCGTGTTAGTCTGTATTCACAAAAAAGAAAAGGAGTACTTGTGGCACCTTAGAGACTAACCAATTTATTTGAGCATAAGCTTTCGTGAGCTACAGCTCACTTCATCAGATGCATCCGATGAAGTGAGCTGTAGCTCACGAAAGCTTATGCTCAAATAAATTGATTAGTCTCTAAGGTGCCACAAGTACTCCTTCCCTTAGAATATATGCTAACTACTTGTGCTAAACAATCTGTTCTGCCTTGGAGTACCTTTCCCAGACCTGAAGAAGAGTCTGTATGGGTTCAAAGCTTGTCTCTCTCACCAACAGAAGTTGGTCTAAGCAAAGACATTAGCTCACCCACCTTGTCTCTCTAATATCCTGGGACTGACATAGCTACAACTACACTGCACATCCATAAAAAGCTATATAACTACCCTCACATTTCACAGATTTTGAAACTATCAGTGACCAGGGACACCAGAAAATAACTGATTAAGACCTGCCTTGGCACTGTCACCTAAGCAGCTTTTCAGAGGTTCTGAGAATCTACTGGAGTGTTGGACTGGAAAATCTGATCAGTCTGTCCACTAATCCTGCATCCCCAAGATTTTGAGAATAAAAGGTCTACTTTATTTGCAATTAATTTGAACCTCTATTTAATCTGACAAAACCTCTGGAACTAAATAATTTGCATGAAAAATAATATAGCTTTCACCCTTATTTTGATCACTTTTAGAACAGTATTACTAAATAATTTAATCACTGTCTTATAGAAAGCTAATAAGATGCTAAAATTCTCAATGAGAAAAAAGGACCAAAGAAGATTACAACAAAAAGCGACATTAATGGGACATTTGATACACTATGACAAAACTATATGATATCCATGCTGTAATGAGCAACCCTAGCGGTCATAGAGGTAAAGAGAGTCAGCCACTTATTTCAGAGATAGAAGCAGATTTATTAAAATAAAACAACGGTACTGACAACAGTTCTCTATGCAATGAAGAGTCATTTCTGTAGAGGGGGGAAGAAATCAAGTAAAACACTGTCTTGGCAGCGCACACAGACCTGGGAGAGAAGTAAGAACAGAGAAAATGTGTTGCATCACTTTGCAAAAACCCTAATAAAATTAAGTCGGAGTGGTGAAGATGGGCTACAAAGACCAACTCCATTACCAGCTAGCATTCCTTCAGTTGAAGAAAGATTACTCTTATAAAGAGCCTTGAAAATGAGCATGGGAGAAAAACAACAGAGGCAGGAGCCCTTGAACCCAATAATATTAGAAGCCCACGCTAAAAAAAAATGGTAATTCCCTCACTTGAGTAACATCTTCACTGGACGAAATTTCATCATCTTTTACCCAGGTATAGGTCACATAGTCATTCACATGCCTGAATGCCACCTGCAGGGAAAGACAGAAGCCATCAGCTCTCTAAAAAAGTAAAGCAAGACACACTGGGGCAACATGGAAAACCTGAGAGTAAGATATCTGCTCTTTTTAGTATATATTACTGTAATTTTAACTAAAAACATTCATTTTAAAAATTAAACTATTTTCAAAACATGCACTGAGCATTAGTCAACAATTTATCATGAGAGAGAGAGAGAGATTTCTGTACCCTAAACCCTCTGCTCTCTTCCTTCCATTTCTGCTCTCCCTTGCTACATTATACCAGCAGACAGGGGCACTTTGGGGAAGAGATTATTCTTCACTATGTCTCATACCTAGCACATTGTGCATAAATAATATTTTACCACACTTTACAAAATATTATTTCTAGGGATGATAAAAATAATTATTTTTCTGTCCACCTAGGCATGTTACCAAATAACTAATAATTCAAGAGTTGGGTGGTTCCAGGCATATTGAAACTACCAGCGACTAGCGGCACTAGAGAATAACTTGCATTTTAGATCTCTAAATAAGGGAAGCATGCAATGCCAAATGAACTACTTCCCCACCACCAATCCCACATCTGCTTTACTGCAAAGATATTTTTATTCTGCAGCGAGGCATGATATTCTGGTAATGTCACCTGGTAGAGCCCAATCCAGTCCCAGGTACTGCTTGGAAATTCAGATAATGTGGAATAGCTGATTAGAACATCCCGTGCAGCATTCCACTCACCCTCAGGATTCAGAGTGACCAATGGAGTGGACAAAAGAGGCTTTATCTAGACAAGAAGGAAGACTGTTTTGAATATATCCATCAGTTAAGGCCTGTTCTACACTGAAAAATGATATTTACCTAGTTATGTTCCTTTTTCCTTACGTGAAAAATTAGTTTGGTCAACCTACCCCGAACGTAGACTCAGCTGGGCTGGCAGCAGAATTCTTCTATTGACTTAGTTACCCCCTCTTGGAGCGGTGGATTAATTACAGAAATGGAAAAAAAGCCCAACCATGTATGGCGTATCTGTGTTGGCACAGCTGTGCCACTGTAGCATCTACAGTGCAGACCAGGAGGTCTCAGCCTTTTTCTTTCTGAGGCCCCCCCAACATGCTATAAAAACTCCAGGCCCAGCAGGAAACAGAGGGGTGGGTGGGCTCTGGCATATTTTGACTTCTACTGGGGGGGGGGGGGGGGACCTGAGGGCGCTTGAGCCAGCTCTGCACCCTGGGGCCCAGAGGAGGAAGACCCACCTCCACCCCGACTCACCTCAGTGGGCCACATCTGGGTTGGGGAGGCGCAACCAAAAATTATAACTCAAGGGGTGGGGAGGGGCTCAGCATAAAGACTTTGAAAACTGCTCAGGGTGCAGGCAGGGGATAGCTAGGAGCTGTGTGCAGTGAGGGATGTAGCTCAAGGTGCAGAGAGAGGGGTAGCTAGGGGCTGTGTGAAGGCAGGGGGGTAGCTCAGGGTGCAGGGAGAGGGGGTTGTGTGCCAGGAGGGCCCCCACTGCAGTCACTGCTCCTCAAAGGCTCTCCAGGCCCTGCAGCCAGGTCCCTCCACTCAGGAGGCTCTTACCGACTGCGCAAGCAGCAAAAGGGGGCTGAAAGCTGAGGAGCAATCACAGTCCTGGGCACCAGCAGCAGAAGATGGGGGAGCACCATGGCTGCCTGCTCCATGGCACCAGCCAGAACAGCAGCTGCCCCACACTGCCTGGCTTCAGCTTCCCACCTGCGACTTCGCCAAGGGGCGGGGCCTGAGGGGTGCTGAGCTGCCACCAGGACTGTCCCAGTCTGGTTAAGACACTACAGTTTTTTTTGGGGGGGGTAATGCCCCCTCATGCCCTCCCTAACTCCTCCCATGGGACTATGGGACCCCCTGAAACTGGCTCACATCCCCCCAGTTGAGAACTGCTGGTGTTGATTAGCCCCCAATATTTTACCTTTGGTACGCAGCAACATCTGTTGTGGGCCCTTAGTTGCATAGGGATAAGGGGAACATCTGACAGGGTAACCAAACGGATTGGGGGGGGGAATAGTAGACATCATATAGCTGGACTTCAGTAAGGCTTCCGATAGTCTCACGTGACATTCTCATAAGCAAACTACACAAATATGGACTAAATAAAGTTACTATAATGTGGGTAAACAACTAAATGAAAACTGTTCTCAAAGGAGTAATCGTCAATTGTTTGCTGTCAAACGGGAAGGACATATCAAGTGGGGTCCCACCCCGTTCAGTATTTTAATTTACAATGTGGATGATGGAGTGAGAGTGTGCGTGTGCTTATAAAATCAGGAGACGAGACCAAGCTGGGAGGGGTTGCAAACACTTTGGAGGACAGGATTAGAATTAAAAATGTTGATAAATTGGAGAATTGGTCTGAAATCAACAAGATTAAATTCAGTAAAGACGAGTGGAAGTACTACACATAGGAAGGGAAAATTAAAAATGTACTTATACAGAAAAAGGGGAAATAACTGGCTACACAGAAGTATGGCAGAAAAGGATCTGGGGGTTATAGCAGACCACAAATTGAATATGAGCCAACAGTGTGATGCTGATATGAAAAAGGAAAATGTCATTCTGGGATGTATTAACAGGAGTGTCATATGTAAGAAGAAGAAATAACTGTTCAGCACTATTCAGCAGTGGGGAGGCATCAACTAGAATACTGTGCCCTTTAAGAAAAAAGTGAACAAATTGGAGTGAGTCCAAAGGAGAGCTACAAAAATAAGAGGTTTAGAAAACATGACATGACCTGTGAAGAAAGGGAGAAAGAACTGGGCATCTTAGGCTACAAAAGAGACAGCTGGAGGGGAGGAGGGATGATAACAGTCTTCAAATATGTAAAAGATTGTTATGAAAAGGATAGTAATCAATTGTTCTCCATACCAGGGCAAAACAGGAAGTAATTTGCTTAGTTTGCAGCAAGGGAGATTTAGGTTGGATATCAGGAAAAGCTTTCTAACTAAAAGGATAGTTAAGCACTCGGGTGACCTATTATAGAGGTTGTAAAACCCCCATCACTGCTGAGACCAGGATAGATAAACACCTGTCAGGGTTGGTCTAGGTATACTTAATCCTGCCTGAATGTGGAGTGATGGACTAGATGACCACTTGAGGTTCTTCTCAGATCTACATTTCTATGATTATAATCAGGAGCAAAGGCTTAACAACAGGTCTAGAATCCCTGAAATACCTACCTCACTGTGTGTGACTTGCCTCTCAGGAAGAGGAAGCCATTAAGGAAGAGAAATTCTCAACCTGAGTCATGAGCCTAAAAGTCTGAGGATGAAGAAATCTTTGCTCATTTGTAAAAAAAGCCAGTGCAAACAAATTTTGTAATCCAGAAGAAAATATCTGAGACTGCAAACAGCAGGGCTTCATCTTGTTGTGTTTGTCACATTTCTGCTTATGACTTACATAAAAAGATTCAGAGAAATAAATTCCGTAAATTAGGATTAATTTTAGTTTTGCCTTTAAGATTACCATTTCTTAATGGGGAGATATTTGCTCCAAAATTATAAAAATGGGACAATACCTGAAGCCCGAAGGTTCCTGTAACAGGTTTGTGATCACTGATGCCATAGCTCATGTGACTGATATAGTTATTCAGGGTCACAGAGATTGTCTGCTCTCCTTCACACAAATCTCCATCCTCTGATGGATGCTGGGAGAGATTCTTCACCCTCCAAAGAATTCGATCTGTCCATGCTGGCTTCCGTTTCTTCCCACTACAAGAGTATGAGCAGAGTAGATGAAAGGAGGAGAAAAAACAGTGGCCAAAAGCTACAATGTTATGTAACTATATAACATCTATTCAAAGTTGATCCAAAATTGTAAAAAATTATTACAACATTCAAAGCAATCACATCTCAACTTCATTTTACAACTCTGCTCTAGCATGCATTACAGCCAGACCCATGGTTTATTAAATTCAATTGAACTTCACTGTAAGAGATCAGCTTTCATGAGTCCCTCTAACTGGAAAGAAATAAAATGAAAAAGAGTGTGGGAATGGATTAGTCAGTCAGTTTCATACAGGAAATGATGCTTTCTCCTAGAATTCTCTCCAAGAACATGCAAGAATCTACAGTTAATGCAGAAACTGTCCTGACCTCAAGCCAATGGCCATCCTATAGCACCCATCAGACATTTCCTGACTTTTGCTGATCTGTGTCACACGTTGAGTATTTTTTATATATTCTTGGTTCCAATATTTTTTAAAGAACAGAAATAATTTTGTATTAATAGCCATCTGGACAGCTTCACTGATGCTAATTATGTAGCTAGTAGTTTTTCCATACTATTATCACCTGTTACGTAGAAGAGACAGAGCAATGGATTCTGCCAAGCTACTCCAGTGTGTTATAATGATAGCATAATTTCTATACTTAGTACACAAGCTTTTCCCTAATAAAATGCTTTATAACATCTAGTAGAGGAAAGTTTGCGTACAGGCAGTAGATTCTTGCACCTAAGTAGCCTGCAACCACGTGTCATGTCATAACTGCAACCACTATGGTTTGGAGTTTCCTTTTATACCATATATCAACAAGAGAAGACACGAGCCTTTCCGGATTCTCTCTGTGATGGGAAGATAACTTTAAAGCAACAGCCCTCTTTATGGACATATCACTTCACAGTGAAATGGAGAAAAGATCATATCCTATGGAAGAGGAATTAGAATGCATTGCATTTAATTGAATTACAAGGGTTAAAGGAGCACGATGCGTAAGGAAAACTGTCAGTTTGACAACTTTCAACAAACTACCATAAACCAGCTATAAACTGCTCAGATTAAATTCAGCACCCTTCCCCCTCCCTACATGCAGGTCTGACTCACCTTAAATGAGAAATGGAAGGATTTTAAGTGATTAAGTAAATGTACACATGAGGGAACAAATCCCATGTATTCCAGTAGAAATACAAACTGACAGAAATCTTTAAAAGCTGCAATATGTCTGCTCTGCTGTGCAAGGCAATACGAAAATGAAGAGCCTGAATACAAAGTTAATACACTGTTTCCTTTATCTGATGATACGGAATAACCAGATAGAGAAGGGAAGCTCAGAACATATATACCACTATCCAGAACAATATAAAATATACCAATCCATTGAAAGATAGTGGTTGGCTGGTTTAAAGCATCCTTTGTGAACATACTCAGAATGCAAAAATGTCTGCCTGTCCCCCCACCTTAGGTGAATCAAAAAACCTGCATTAATATTAACAGAAATTGAATGCACACATTAGAGGTGTTTAAATGAAGTAACTTGAGTTACAAAGAGTTCATGATATTCATATTTAACAAACTAATGCCACATTACTGTGTCAAGATTTCTCAAGTTGCATAATTACTTATATTTGTTGGTTACCGAATTTTAAAGCAGGTTACACTACTGCTATCTGTTCGTGCTCAGGTAAAAAGCCCACTGCTTTCAGTCCAGACTAATACATTAAGATTAGTCTCAGTGATTCTCTTGACGTGCTACAGCAGAGAAGAAGATGCTACAACTTTCAATTAGATTCAGGAAATTCGTGCAGAAAATCAGAAGTCTGATTTTCAAGTATTTCACAAGAATCAAATCAAAATCTGAGCCTTTTTTTGATTCTGCAATATCTACAATCTAAGAAAGCCAGAGAGTCGTCTTCTTACTTAAACCAAAACAGTGTCTTCTGCCCCCTGAAAATAAAAATAAAGATAAGTATAAGACTCCTGATGGTCAGGAGCTAATTTCTCCATTGCAATGTGCCCTGCAGATCTTGTAAATAATAAAGCAATTTGGAAACAAATTAAATTCACAGATTAAATATTTTACAATCTTTATTTAAAAAGTTGTTTCAAACATAGCTTTATGGATGATTTAAAGCAGTGGTTTTCAACCAGGGGTATGCATATCCCTGTGGGTATGCAGCGGTCTTCCAGGAGGTACATCAACTCATTTAGATATTTGCCTAGTTTTACAACAGGCTACATAAAAAGCACTAGCGAAGGCAGTACAAACTAAAATTTCATACAGACAACTTGTTTATACTGCTCTATATATTATAAACTGAAATGTAAGAATAATATTATATTTCAATTGATTTATTTTATAATTTTATGGTAAAAATGAGAAAGTAAGCAATTTTCCAGTTAACAATGTGCTGTGACACTTTTGTATTTTTATGTCTGATTTTGTAAGCAAGTAGTTTTTAAGTTAGATGAAACTTGGGTATGCAAGACAAATCAGACTCCTGAAAGGGGTACAATAGTCTGGAAAGGTTGAGTGCCACTGATTTAAAGCAACTAAAAACTTCCCTGTGGTGTCCCAGAAGTCCAGGAAAATAACGGACTGCAAATGTGAAGTATCATATATTCATTTATTTAAAACATCAGGTCATTTGTTTCCCCCCCAGAACTTTGCAAGGCAACATTAGTCTCTGATGACAGTTTATAGGCCTAGTTTGGGCTTTAACGAAGTTAAGTGATCAGACTTTTTGGCATGCTGAACAATCTTACAAAGACAGAAACTGGCTAAGAAAAGGAAAATAGGATTTTCAACTGAGGAAAGTTCCAATGTTCTGTACTATGTCCAATGTTTCATATATTAATCTGGAAAAGTGGGTAAACGGTGTCAAAACGTGCTGATGACAATTATTTTGGTTAGTCAAAACTAGAGACGGGTAATGAACTACAAAAAGATCCAACAAAGCTAGATGAACAGGAAACAAAAAGGCAGATAAAATGTAATGTTAACAAATGCAAGGTAATGTACATTGCAAGGAATAATATAAACTACTCATAAACCTTAACGGGTTCTAGACCACTGGGGGGACAACTTGGTCATAGTGTGGCAAAAGTCTAACAGCAGAAAAAGAGATTTCATGTATAAAAAATGAGTGAGAAAAATACCACAAATATTACAAAGCCATTACATAAATCAGTGTAATGCCTTCAAAGGTATAACCAGATCCAGTGGCTAGAGGCTGATGCTACAAAAATTCAAATAGGAAAGTATGTTAAATTTATTTTAAGTGTAGCTGTGTGTAATCAACCATTAGAATGGCTCACCAAGGAATGTGATCAACTTGAAGTCTTTCAATCAAGAGTTGATGTCTTTCTAGAAGCTATACTGTAGTTCAACCATAAATTACGGGGCTCCATTCAGGAATTACTAGTTGGATGGAGTTCTATGGCATGTGTCATGCAGGTCAGATTAAATGATCACAGTGACCCTCTTCTGACCTTAAAAATTGTATCTATGAATGCCATATTGAGCTCTGATAACTATCTCACAGAGTATAGTAGAAATAGAAGAGGGGCAGAGAAAGGCAACAGATGATTACAGGTATGGAGAGAATTCCGATGGAGAGGGTAGAAAAAATTGGGATTGTTTAGTTTAGAGAGGAGACAAAGACAACAGGACATGACAGAAATACACAGACTGAATGGTGTAGCCAAGATAAACCAGGAGCTCCTATTTATCTTATCTTCTCATTATACAAAATCAAAGGGACAGTCAATTAAATTGAAAGGCAGAAAATTTAAAACTGATAAAAGGAAAACATACATAATTAAACTGTGGAACTCAGCCACAGGATGCCACTGAAGCCAATATCTTAGAGGGCTTCATGAAAGGATTAGAGATTTATAAAATCATGACTGGTGTAAAGAAAGTAGACAAGGAAGTGTTGTTTACTACTTCTCATAACACAAAAACTAGGGGTCACCAAATGAAATTAATAGGCAGCAGGTTTAAAACATAAAAGGAAGTATTTCTTCACACAATATACAGTCGACCTACGGAACTCCTTGCCAGAGGATGTTGTGAAGGCGAAGACATTAATAGGGTTCAAAAAAGAACTAGATAAATTCATGGAGGATAGGTCCATCAATGGCTATTAGCCAGGATGGGTAGGAATGGTGTCCCTCGTCTCTGTTTGCCAGAAGCTGGGAATGAGCGACAGGGGATGGATCACTTGATGAGTCCCTGTTCTGCTCATTCCCTCTGGGGCACCTGGCACTGGCCATTGTCAGAAGACAGGATACTGGGCTAGATGGACCTTTGGTCTGACCCAGTAGGGCCATTTGTATGTTCTTATATGGGTAACAGAAACATCCACAGTTGTATTAGATAAGGCACTTCTGTTTTTTTTAATGGGATATGAATTCATGTTTTAGCAAGAGTCAGCCACTAAAGTATGGGGTTTAGGAAGATAACCTGCCCACAGAGAAAGCATTTCATAGCTTTGTGCTCTGAGGTTTCTTGAATTTTCCTCTGAAGTATCTGGTATAGGCCATTCCAAGAGACAAAGGATGATGATAGTAATTCATTATGTTCTTATGAAGTAATGAAATCAGTTTTCACATTCAGATAAAACAAAATGTGTTTAGCTTTTTTCTTAAGAAATAAGAAAATGGGTTCAAAATATGAGTGTATCAACCCACAGGGTATTCTTTTATTAAAAAACAAAGTTGGGCCCCTGAAGACAATGCTTTTGAATAAAAAGATTTGGTGCCTGCATTGTCCATTTAGCCCTTCCAAATACAAGCTCAGACCCACATTGCCACTCCCATTCCCCTCATGTGACATGGAAACAGATCTCTTCAGCCAGAAGACTTCATTTATTCAGCATTGCCCATTGAATGACCCAGATAAACTAATAGGTCTAACAGCCTCATAGTCAACATGGGGGACAGATATCAAAGACCATGGAAGGCTGAGCCTCCATAAACAGCCTTGCGTGGCCCCACCCACAGTCCACCCCCAGACCCCTTCCTGGTGCTGTGCTGCGGGGGGCTCTTACCCCCCCATGGCTGGGGCTGGTCTGTGCTTTGAGGCTGATGGACAGGGGGCGCTGCCCACCTGGTGCTCTGGGGCTGAAGGGGGCACAGCACCTGCCCACCTCCTCAGTGCTCCAGAGCTGGGGCCGCAACACCTGCCTGGCACTCTGGGATTGGGGGCACTCAGGCAGTCCAGGGCCGGCTGGGGGTGGGGGGGAAGTGGCTGCGTGGAGGTTGCTGCTCTGGGCTCTGGCAGGAGGGGTGTGGCCTCCCCAAGCCCAGGGTTCACCCACTGCCCATGATAGTGAACTAGCAATCTGGGACAAATCTAGGCCTGTTTAGTTGATCAGACTGATGTTTACTAAGGCACAAGGGTTATCTCAGACCGTTCCCTGACTGAACACAATATATTGTGCTTTTTACCTCGTGTCATACACGTCAGAGTGAAGATCGAACTTGTAAGTGGGTTTAAACTGCAAGGGACCCTCTATAAATTCCTGGAGAAAAGCTTCCTTCTTCTTTGCTATATTTAACTGTAGAAATAAAACAAATGTTATAAACAATGTGATATAAAGGGAAACCTGTAAAGATTACGTTTAAAATCAGAGATTAAAGAATCATTCATGAAGGAGATGAGAAAGCATCTTCTAAAAAGGATTCAAAATTTTTTACACACTGCAACACATCTTCCAAACAAAATGCATAGGGGCTCCTTCGCTACTGCTAGAGCCTTTAAACTAACCCTTCTAGAAATACTGCAGCAGTTATTCTGGAAATGCAGATGTGCTAAGGCGAGCCCACTAATAGTTTAAACTGGGGGTGCGGGTAGAGAGACAGAGACAATAGGACAATTTACAAGCCAGTAAAGTTCACTGAAATCTTCAGTCAGCACTGCACCCGAGTCAGAATGAAACAGAGCAACAAATTATATATATATATATATAAGTTAAGTAGGTAATATTTAAGACTGAAAAGAAAGACTTCACAGCTATACCACTCCCAGTAAGGAAAGAGTTAGGAATAACAGTGGGAACTCAAAGCTACTCTTAAGTTCGGCCTCTCTAAACAAGGGACCCTGTAGTCCCTGTAGGAACTTTGACAGAAGATGAGAGAGCAGAAGCGCCAATGTAAGCTATTCTTTAGTATGTGTCAGGACTAGAACCAGAAGAACATTAAAAAGGGACGATACCTGGTCCTTTTCCCATAGTAGATTGTATCGGCTATTGCTTATTGACTCTCGGATAAAATGTATTCCATAATCTGCTATCCGGAAGTTGAGATCTCCAAACCAGAAAAGAATGCTATTTAAAAAAAAAGGCAGTAAGTGCTCATGGTTTCCTATAAAGCTACACATACCTCTGTGTGCGGGGCGGAAATCATGAAGATAGGGCGAGATTACTATACCTTATTCCATTGCTTAGATACTTTTCTATACTTCTAATCTAAACACCACAAACAAAATCTTCATTTAGTGACAGTTAAGGTTACAGAACGTCATATCCACCAGTCCAAAACTTTAAAGGGATGGTAATCAAAATTAAATGGAAAGTTTCCTATATTCCTTGACACGTTCAACACTGCCTACTACACAACAAACTCCAGCACTCCACAAGGCCTATACTTTCAATTTCAACAGGGACCAATACTCATGGGCAGCGGGTATCAAAGGCAGGGGAAGGCTCAGCCTACCCAAACTGCCTCTGTGGCCCTGTCCACACTCCACTCCCAGGCCCCCTCCTGCTTCCTGTCGGGCCCACAGCTCTTCTTTCCCATGTGGCCAAGCCCCGGGCCAATGGCACCAGAACTCTGTGTGTGTGTGGCTGGGGAGCCTGGGCAGCAGTGGGGAGCCGTGGCAGACCCTCCACCTGCCTGGGCAGCCCCCAGCCCGAGTCCCCATCCCCCAGGTTCCCCAGCCGCCTGAGACAGGAGGAGGGTCCACAACTCCACACAGCTGCCTGAGCAGCTCACCTCGACCCAGCTCCAGCGGGGGGTGGAAGTGGGGAGCTTGGAGCTGCAGCCCGGCCACGGTGAGAGCCACAAGTGGGCAGCTGCGAGGAGCCACAGACCCTCCACCTGCCCCAGGGGAGGGGGCAGAAAGCCCAGGGGCAGGAATAAGGGCACGGGGTTGCTCTCAGCCCACCACACCTCAGGCTGGTGGAGGGTCAGCTGCAGCTCCCCACAGCTGCCTGCCCAGCTCTTATCATGGCTGGGCTGTGGCTCTGAGGTCCCCCTAACCCCGGCCAGAACCAGGTCTGGAGCTCTCCCTGACAACTGCCTGCCTTTGCCTCCACCTCGGGCGGCCCCCCTGACACACACACTTTGGGGATGGCTCTGGTGCCCTTGCCCAAGGCTGAGGCTAGTGGAGGCCGGCCTGCAGCCAGGGACCCCGGGCGGCTGGAGCCAGTGCTCACACTACCCACCCACCCGGCGCTCGGGGCTGTGCTGCCAGTTGACCCAGCACTCCGGGGTGGGAGTGGGGCACACTCAGCTGCCTGCCTGCTCGCTCGCCGGGTGCTCCAAAGTTGCGGGGGGGTGGGGGGGGAGAGAAGAGGTGCCACTCCAGGCTCCAGCAGGGGAAGGGCAGCAGGCCCCGGGCAGAAGGGATGGGCCAGCCAAGGGCCTACCCAAGCCCGCCGGTCACTCACAACCTATGCCAATACTCCAGTGTCATCAACATTTTGTGCTAGACTGCAAGTTTAATGGCACCCTCAACAATACTGAGGCAGAGTAACTTCCAAATGACCGGTGTATGTGATAATAAGCGGTATCAATCTGTTGATACCAGGACATCTTCAGACACTTAAGGTTTTGCACTATAGTGCAATTTTGATGAACCTGGGGTACATATTGCTTTTTTTAATTTGTTGGAGATGGGAAATGAAATCCTCTAGGAGTAGGTTATCGACAATGTTGAACACAATACAAAAGAAGCACGGAAATGAGCCTTTTCCTTTCACTTCTCAGTTCCATATTTAAGGTTTTGCCCTGCTAGGGAACGTCCTAATACTTTACTGAATGACAGCTAATTTATTAGGTTTTTTTAATATAGGGTTGGGGCACTTCAGTGGATCAGTAGCCAGAGAAGAAGAGATATCAAATGACTGAAATGTGAAATACTTATATTTTGGTGCACTGCACTACAGATAATGGGAATTTTTTTAAATTACAAAATATTTTCCTATATGCATTGTTGTTGTAGCCATCTTGGTCCCAGGATATTAGAAAGACAAGGTGGCTGAGGTTGTATCTTTTATTGGACCAACTTCCGTTGGTGAGAGACAAGCTTTTGAACTTACACAGAGCTCTTCTTCAGGTCTGGGAAATGTACTCAGGGCTTGTCTACACTGTGACATTTGTCAACAAAAGTTTTGTCTTTCACGGGTACTTAAAAAAAGCCCTCCCCTGCCCGTGAAAGACAAAAGTTTTGCTGATGCAAGTGGCAGTGTGAACGCTGCTAGTGGGGCTGGAAGTATTTTGTCAGCACTTATTGACAGAGAGCGTTCACACAAGCTGACTTTTAGCAACAAGGCTGTGTCGACACTTAAACACAAGCCCTCAGTGTGTCACACAAACACAATGTGAAAGACTGTTTAGCATAAACAGTTAACATATTTCAAGGAATTATTCAAGTTGAAGTGGCCAGTTAACACCACTCCATGGGAGCGGTTGGGGGTGTGCGGGGATGATGATGAACTCTTACTTTTACTCTTTAAAGCATTTTAAGTAATTCCTATAAAATTAAAAAGTAAAAACCAGACTAGTGGCCTGAAACAGATAGTGGAATATTTAGGTTAGAAATCTGAGAGACAGTATAACACTCAGGGCAATTAAGTAATAAAATAACTTGCCAAGAACTGGTGGATGGAGGCTCCATCAGTAGATGTTCTAACAAATCCATTTAGGTAGATAAAATTGCAAAAATGCAGCAACATACTCTCTACTCACAAAGAGAAAGGAGAATCTCCAGCATATATGGCTTTTATCTTCTAAAGGCTCCAACCACTAGAAAACTACATTACTCAAACTAGCTAACTCAATACTACTTGAGATTAGCAGAGAGTACAATCCTGCAGTACAAGCCTCAGACCTCCAGGAGATCTTTTCCAGCTCTTTCCATTTGAATTCAAGCAACACATCCACTGAAGAGACATTTAAAGTAAAAGTGTGACATGTGGAAGAAGTCCTCAGACAAATCTCTATTTAAAAGAATGTTGTGGAATGAACCTATGACAGACACTATTATCTCAGAAATGGTGCACTAGTACTTGGGTGTAACACTCACTCGTGGTCTAGAATATTTGGCACATTCTCATCTTCAAACTGCTGCATTTCCAGAATTTTCTCAAAGTCATCCAGTCGTTGCTCAGCATTCTCAATGTGAGCAGGCAAATGACAGTTCATGAAGCAGATCGTATGACCATAGAGGGACATGCGAATGGTGACTCCTCCTTTGTTCCCCTGAAGTGGAGAAATAACAGCGCTCTTTGAAGTTATGGTCAACAGCTGCAAATTTATCCATTGCTACAACATATGTAATTTCAAACAGTACTATTAAGGAATAAATATTTTGGTTTTGTTTTAAATTTACAAAAGCAATATTCAATATCTATCATTCAGAAATCTCTCAGCCAATAAACTGGTGAAATTCTGTGGCCTGTGTTATGCAGGAGGTCATACTACATGATCATACCTATCCCTTCTGGCCCAGGGGTGGGGGAAGAATCTATATTGCCAAATAAACCAAAAAGCTCCCCAAGAAATCCACATCATGTAGTCATGCAGTAAACCATGCCACCAGCTCTCAGATATCCTTTACCCAATATCCATAAAGGCCTGTGCGCGTGTAGTGAGTGTGAATGTCCCGTATGAAGGGGATATGGGCATGCTTCACAAAGACCAGCAGAAGGAGTCCCTGCATTCGAATGGATGAGAGCTGCAAAAGATGAGAAAAAGGTCACAGTCAGGTTACATGGAGTACTTGGGATACCACAAATACTGGAGTCTGCTCCCTGGGCCTTTAGTTGGAGAAGGCCACACCCAAGGTTGCATATTCCCTACAGCAAGTTTGACCTAAAGTTTATGGCAAAGCACATACTGAAGAGCTTCTGAAAGTGCCACTGACTGGAAATTCTAAGGTAATCTCAAATTTAAAAAAGGAGTTATTTTGTTGAATTAAATATTAAACTGATCAGCACAGTATTCCTTGTTACTTAAATTGAAAGTACATACAATGCTGTCTCTAAAATTTTAATTTTCAAACGTATTGTAGAATTTTGTGCTGAAAATGCCTAATTGTATTGTAGAAAACATCAGAGGGAAACTGGAGGTTTGGACAACTGAGGGTTGGAGCTTTTGGCACCTAAGAAGGTACGAACATTTAACGATGTTTCTGCTGAAATAATCAGCAGAGAAATAGTTCATGTGGACCTTTAAAGGTCAGGTGCTCAGCACTTTCTAAAAGGCAGGGCCCATAAGTGCATCTCAAAATGGACACCAAGAATTGACACACCCAGCATCACTAGTCACTTTTGAAATCTCCATTCCAAAGAGTTCACAATTTAGAGATTCAAACAGACAACTCTGAAGGACAAAATATTTTTCTTGAGTTGGTATTAGTCCAACGTTAGTCCACGTCAAGTGTTTCATGTTACTAAACTCTGAATATCTAATCCCTGCATCCTGACCCCGCAATGTCTCCCCTTTTCACGCCATTTCCAAGTATGAAACTGGAGCTATGTCTATTAAAAGTGCGATCATAATATAGATAATACTTGCAAAGCACTCCTAAAGCTGTGTCTACACTGCCACTTTCAGCGATAAGTCATTCAGGGGTGTGAAAAAACATGCCCCTGAGTGACAGAAGTTTTAGCGCTGAAAAGCGCCAGCTACACTCCTGGCTATGAAACCACCACCTCATTCAGGGTGGCGTTTGGTTTTTTTTTAAATCACCAGGGGAGCTCTCCCCGGCCATAAAGTGTGTCTACACTGTCCACGCAGCAGTGCTGTCACGGTCATGCTGTAACATGGGCAGTGTAGACATACCCTAAGCACGGGCACAGCTTTCACCGGCAAAGCTGCGTTGAAAACCATTTCGCCAAGCAAAACAAGCTATACCAGCAAAAACTGTTTTGCTGAAATAACTGCCCCTGCACTAGGTTTTTGTACCAGCACAGCTGTATTGGTCAGGGATCAGACCCCTTCAGACCTGACTAATACAGCTATACTTGCAGAAGCCCCTAGTATAGGCATAGCCTGACCGCAGAACACTAATTGTATGAAAAATGACAGTTTTCAAAGGTCAAATATTTTTTTTCTGCCTCACTAGCCTACAGCTACTATCTGTAACAATACTCATGCTTAGATGGAACAAATCATGTCATTTCACTCAGAATCTGAGACCATACACAGCTGGAGTTTTTAGTCAAGAATAAGTTTTGCCAACTGCCCCCGCATCCCAGCATCGCAGGATGGTTACAAATGCTATTTAAAAGCTCAACCTCTAGCCGACGGGACTGTAATGCTAGGCATCTGCAGAACTGACTATCAGCAGTGCAAATACCCTTACTCCTGCAAGGAAGATTTAGTTTACTGAATGTTACTAAAGCTATGATGCCCAAGAGGCAAATAAGGCACTATTTCTATTTTAAGATGTGTTGAGATTCCATTTATTTCCAGAAATATTTGTCTAAAGAGAATCCTCATGGAGTTGAAAATCATAATTTCCCAGTAAGTATATAATGAAGTTCTCTTAGGAACATTAGACACAAGACTCAGCCTAAATATCTGAATTTCAGTGCTAATTCCATTCTGTTTGGAACTATCAGATAACAAAATACACCAACTGCAGTCTTTTAAATCTTCTTTATTAAATAAATGGTGCATAAGTGGCCTAAAAATTTCTCTCTTCATAAAGCCTGACCACATTTTAAGGTCGCTTTCACTGAATTCATTGATTACATATAGCCATGTGACCCAAGTTTTCATTATGAAATTCTAGACACTTCTTCAGAATGTCAAGAAGAACAGGTCTTCTGAATAGTGAATTCACTGCATTTCTTTTTCATATTTAAGCAGTTTATTTCCACTCATTTTACAGCTAATAAAAATCTTACCAAGCACCATCAAAAGCAATGTCATTCCTTGAGATGGCTATAATGAAAGCAGATGCCTCAGTAGACTATATTATTAGCAATTATAGTACAGATCCCAGTGGATGCACAGATGAAGGAAATATTCCAGAGACAAAAGAGAAATAGTCCTACTGTGGCCTCAAACACTATACTCAAATTAAATCCATTCATGTACAGCAAAACCTGAGGTAAACTTCTTCATTACTCTGTTCCTTTAGAAATTTACTCTCTTTGGAACATGAACAATATTACTGGGGATGCTCATGTGCATGGGGTTCTATGAGTCTGACACTATGGTAATGGGAACCATATAAGTACCTAGAAATAGAAAATTTATTGTCAAAAAATGTCATTACTCCCAGCTATTCAAAACTAGCACTGAAACGCCACAGATCCAAATCTTATTGCTAAAACTAAGAGTGCCAACATTAGGGAAGAATACTTCAGAAAGTGGCTGTGCCAACAAGCCAGCAGGTTACAAGTCTAACGGAAAAAGACTTGCGTATAGAGATAACTATCAGCATCTGTACAAAAATACTCAGTATCAGTTGCCCAGGTATGCCCGTTACCCACAGTAATCAGACTTTGGAGAGAAAAAATAATGAATGAAGGGTGCTAACCATTTATAGAATTGAGAAGTTACCTTGATATAACCCAAAGGAGAGAATACGGTCATGAAGAAAATGCTCCACGGATCATCAAATGCCAAGTCAGAAAGGAAATTTAGGATCTTGGAGTTTACCTCCTGTAAACTGAATACAACAGGGTTACTCATATATCCTGGGCTCAATCTAATCCATACTTTTGACAGAGTCCTCATAAATTTTAGGAGCACAAACAGGTAAGATTAACATCATGACATCCTAATAGACTTTCCTAAAAGCAGTTATAACGTTTCTTATTCTTACCTATGCATGATACAGTAGGCAGTGTAACCTATGTGTGGCGCTAACTTTTAAAACAGGAAAGTTACAGGGTCTTAACCAGAGCCCTGACCTATGCTCAATGTCAAAATTCATGACAAATGCAGGGTGACAGAAGGTGGAGTGACAAATGTTACCATTACAAGGTGTTGCTGCAACTTAGCTGAAGGAAAGAGAAGGGGCTGGGTTGACTACAGGGTGATCTGACAGATCAGAACCCCACTGGCACTGCCATGGGGTGACTGAGGCAAAGACAGAAACCCCTTAGAATCATAGAATATTAGGGTTGGAAGAGACCTCAGGAGGTCACCTAGTCCAATTCCCTGTTCAAAGCAGGACCAACACCAACTAAATCATCCCAGCCAAGGCTTTGTCAAGCCAGACCTTTAAAACCTCTAAGGAAGGAGATTCCACCACCTCCCTAGGTAACCCATTCCACTGCTTCACCACCCTCCTAGTGAAACAGTGTTTCCTAATATCCAATCTAGAACTCCACCATTGCAACTTGAGACCATTGCTTCTTGTTCTGTCATCTGTCACCACTGAACAGCCTAGCTCCATCCTCTTTGGAACCCCCCTTCAGGTAATTGAAGGCTGCTATCAAATCTCCCCCCTTTACTGACACAATAGGCAAGGAAGATTCTGCTCTAACACTTGGGTCCCCTTGGTACAACAACTGCCAGCAAGGTAAGAATTTTTAAAACTTGTAGATATTTGAGAATGTGAGCTTGTATCAAGGCACCTAAGGCCTGTAGTTCTGCTACATAAAAAGATGCAAGATGGGAGCTGGGAAAACAAGCAGACAGTTCATCACAATATGTTCCTAATTTCTATTCGAAATCACTAGCCCCCAGCCTTTGGACTTCTGCATTTAGTGATACTATGATCCAATGCTTCACCTTTCACAACCGTCACAGTAATTATGGCGGTTCAGAAGAACTGGGTAGTTACTGAAAAACAAAATTTTGGCAGTAAATGTGCAGAAAACTGACCACGGCATCATTTATCGCATACCTACCCAATAACATACATATCCATACTCGGTCCCTGTGAACTGAGCTGAAGTAAGCCAGTGACATCAGGAGGAGGAGAAGCTGTGCCCACATTCCAGGTTACCAAGTGCAGTCTACATATAAAAAATAAGACAAAATTGAAGTCTAAACAGGTGAGCACAGGAGGATCCAATTTTCCACTACAAAACTCCCATATGTGAAAAAAACCCAAGATTTACAAATAATGACAAATTGAAAACTATCATAAAAGCTATTTACTAGCTACACAAAAATTTAACAACTCGCCAATCAGAGAATGAAACCTGAACTCTTGGCACTTGTCTTTCAGCTTTTTCCCCCAAATCAGGAAAGCCTCATCTAGCGTGCGAGACACTTCCTCATGAATCTCATCATCTGAGCTGATGTCCTCCACACAAGCCATGAGTTGTGCCACTCGTTGTCGGAGCTGTAAGCGACCACTGGACCCTGTACTGCTGAAACTTGCAGAGCGACTGCGGAAGGGGTGCAGGCTTTCTAAATCAAACAGGGAGAGGGATGACGAATCCTGAAGTGCATCTTCACTATTCAAGGACGCCATCTGGGCAAAAGAGCAGCAAAACTATACTCCAAAGTGCCAGCCACATTTACCCTTCAAATCCTGAGTACAGGAAAACCCTCAGTGGCACACTCACAGCGTTTTTCAGCTCAAGTTTTAACTCTTGTGAAATTCAGCATTATTCCTAGCAAAAATGTATAGTGCTTCTGCAGTAAAGCAGAAAGAAATACAGCATTAAGATCAGTCACACCCTACTGCTTCTGACAAAAGCTGATGAGTCCTGCCCCACCTCACATACTAAACCATTTCTTCCTAACAGATTTAACTCTGTTAAGAGCTTGAGGTTTAAGAGAATTTATTGCTGATGTGATTTGAATCACATGTTTCTATCAGCTGTTAGAAGAAATGTAATCTCCAACTTCTAGGCATGTGCACTACTCAATTCTATCTGAGTGCAGCATAAAAAGCCACAAGGATCCTAGAGCGTCTGATGAGGGGTTCCAAAAACACAGACCTGCCACCTAACTTTTCAAACAGTATCTAATACTGTACAGTTTTCCGAGAAAGAATTATTCAATATTATTATATTGCAGGTGGTCTTTAAAATACTAAGCTGCTAATTTCCACCTACCTTAGGTTCACAGACAGCATCCATTACCAAAGTATCTGAATAACTTACAATCTTTAATGTAAGTATCCTCACAACATCTCTGCGATGTAAGGCAATACAGTAGAACCTCAGAGTTACAAAAACCTCAGGAATGAAGGTTGTTTATAACTCTGAAATGTTCATAACTTTGAACAAAATGTTATGGTTGTTCTTTCAAATATATTTACAACTGAACATTGACTCAATACAGCTTTGAAAGTTTACTATGCACAAGAAAAATGCTGCTTTCCCTTTATTTTATTTTTAAAAGGAATTTAGTACTGTATTGCATTTGCCTCTCTTTTTTCTCTGCTGCTGCCTGATTGCGTACTTCTGGTTCCAAATGAGGTGCGTGGTTGACTGGTCAGTGCGTAACTCTGGTGTTCAGAATTCTGTGATTCTACTATATTATTATTCCCATTTTGCAACTGGAGCACAGAAAGACTGAGATCACACAGGAAATCTTTGGAAAAAGCAGGGAATTGAACCTGCATCTCCTCGCTCTTAGGGTAGTGCCCTAACCACTGGAATATCTTTCCTCACAAGTTTCCCTTTGAAATGTTATACTGAAGTTAGCCAGAAGGTATAGTAGAATAATCTGATACTGCAGTAAGTGATGGGCCTTTCATATATACTACAGTCCACCCTCTACTATGGAAGAGATGGATTACCTGAGAAAACTCTCCAAATTAGCATTCAGAAGGAAAGCCAGATGGCGGTGAAGATACAAAGCCAAAAAACTATTGAATACGAAAGCTCAAGGGGAAAATATCAGCAAATATTGAGGAAAATTGAATTCCATGATGTCGCTAAACAAGAGAGGAAAAGGGCTGACAGCCTCAGGATCCACACCAAAAAAAATGAGAACATGAGAGGTAAAACCAAATCAAACATTTTGAGGTTTAAGCATTCTCATGAGCTACAGCTGTAGGACAAACTTCAGAGTAGTGAACGTATAGCTATAGAAACAGAATGCGAACAGCATAGCACCACAGGCATTAGGCAATCCCAATGGACGGTGTATAATTCTCTAAACACGTTTAGCACTTTGTAACTCTCTACCAATATTAACTGATCCTCAACGATCACAGTGAGTAGGTATGATAAGATCCTCACCTGACTGACAACACAAGTAAATTGTCTTGCAAAATAAGGAAGCTACTCAAGGTACTCTATTTTTCTATCATCTTATCATCATGGTGATCCAAGCACCTAGCGTGTCAGAACACTGTTCAAGCCAGGATAACCCTATTCTAGACATTTGGATCACTGAGCAGGGTATTCCCCACAAATGAGCCCTTCCCAACCATGCTTTCTGCATAATGCTGATTTACAATAAGTTCCAGAAGATTGGAAGAAAGCTAATGTTGTGCCAATATTTAAAAGGGGTAAATAGGAGGATCTTGGAAATATAGGGCTGTCAACTTGACATCAATCCCAGGCAAAAAAAAAAATGGAATGGATGATATGAGACTTCTTTAATTCTTTATTAACCAAGGGTAATATAATTAACGTCAATAAACATGGTTTATGGAAAATAGGTCTAGGCATACAACTTGATATCATTTTTTGATTAGATTACAAGTTTGGTTGACAAAGGTAATAAAGTTGCTGTAATATATTTAGACTTCTGTAATGCATTTACTTGGGACTGCACACAATATCTTAATAAACTAGAACGATACAAAATCAACATGGCACACATTACATTGATTAAAAACTAGATAACTGACAGATCTTAGAACGTAATTATAAAAGGGGAATCATCAAGCAGCTAATGTATTTCTAGTGTAGTCTTGCAGGGACTGGTCCTTGGCCCTAGTTAACATCTTTATCAATGACTTGGAAAAAGGCAAAATAATTTCTGACAATGTCTGCATATGATATGAAATAGTTATAATGAAGAGAATAGGTCACTGATACAGAGTGATCTGCATCACTTGGCAAGCTACATGAAGGCAAACAATGTACATTTTAATATTACCAAATGTAAGGTTATATATCTAGAATGTAGGCCATACTTGCAGGATGGGGGATCTCTATCCTGAGAAGCAGTGACTACGAAAAAGACTTGAGGGGTCATAGTGGACAATCGGCTGAACACGAGCTTTCAGGGCAACACTGTAGCAAAAGGTTAATACAATTGCTGGATGTATAAACAGGAGACTACTGAGTTGGAGTAGGGAGGTTATATTACCTCTGTATTTGACACTGGTTCTGATGTCCACAAGGACGACGAAAAACTGAAGATGGTCCAGAGAAGAACCACAAGCATGATTAAAGGTTTGGAAAACATGCCTTATAGCAACAAATTCAAGGAGTTATAATATCTTAGCCCTGGTCTACACTAGGACTTTAGGTCGAATTTAGCAGCGTTAAATCGATTTAAACCTGCACCCGTCCACACAATGAAGCCCTTTATTTCGACTTAAAGGGCTCTTAAAATCGATTTCCTTACTCCACCCCTGACAAGTGGATTAGCGCTTAAATCGACGTTGCCGGCTCGAATTTGGGGTACTGTGGACACAATTCGATGGTATTGGCCTCCGGGAGCTATCCCAGAGTGCTCCATTCTGACCGCTCTGGACAGCGCTCTCAACTCAGATGCACTGGCCAGGTAGACAGGAAAAGAACCGCGAACTTTTGAATCTCATTTCCTGTTTGGCCAGCGTGGCAAGCTGCAGGTGACCATGCAGAGCTCATCAGCAGAGGTGACCATGATGGAGTCCCAGAATCGCAAAAAAGCTCCAGCATGGACTGAACGGGAGGTACGGGATCTGATCGCTGTTTGGGGAGAGGAATCCGTGCTATCAGAACTCCGTTCCAGTTTTCGAAATGCCAAAACCTTTGTGAAAATCTCCCAGGGCATGAAGGACAGAGGCCATAACAGGGACCCGAAGCAGTGCCGCGTGAAACTGAAGGAGCTGAGGCAAGCCTACCAGAAAACCAGAGAGGCGAACAGCCGCTCTGGGTCAGAGCCCCAAACATGCCGCTTCTATGATGAGCTGCATGCCATTTTAGGGGGTTCAGCCACCACTACCCCAGCCGTGTTGTTTGACTCCTTCAATGGAGATGGAGGCAATACGGAAGTAGGTTTTGGGGACGAAGAAGATGATGAGGAGGAGGTTGTAGATAGCTCACAGCAAGCAAGCGGAGAAACCGGTTTTCCCGACAGCCAGGAACTGTTTCTCACCCTAGACCTGGAGCCAGTACCCCCCGAACCCACCCAAGGCTGCCTCCTGGACTCAGCAGGCGGAGAAGGGACCTCTGGTGAGTGTACCTTTTAAAATGCTATACATGGTTTAAAAGCAAGCATGTGAAAGGATTACTTTGCCCTGGCATTTGCGGTTCTGCCTTTGCAAAAGGTTTCTGGGGAGGGCAGCCTTATTTCGTCCTTCATGGTAGGACACTTTACCACTCCAGGCCAGCAACACGTACTGGGGAATCACTGTAGAACAAAGCATTGCAGTGTATGTTTGCTGGCATTCAACCAAAATCCGTTCACGCGGTGGGAGGAGGCAAAATGCGACCTTGTAACGAAAGCACATGTGCTATGTATGTAATGTTAACAGCAAGGTTTACCCTGAAAGAGTGTAGCGACTGTTTTATAAAATGTGTCTTTTTAAATACCGCTGTCCCTTTTTTTTTCTCCACCAGCTGCATGTGTTTCAATGATCACAGGATCTTCTCCTTCCCAGAGGCTAGTGAAGCTTAGAAAAAAAAAAACGCACTCGCGATGAAATGTTCTCCGAGCTCATGCTGTCCTCCCACACTGACAGAGCACAGACGAATGCGTGGAGGCAAATAATGTCAGAGTGCAGGAAAGCACAAAATGACCGGGAGGAGAGGTGGAGGGCTGAAGAGAGTAAGTGGCGGGCTGAAGACAGGGCTGAAGCTCAAAGGTGGCGGCAGCGTGATGAGAGGAGGCA